CCTTAAAAGATAAGAGAAAAGAGAATAAAATAGTCTGTTTTCTAAACAGCTTCACAGCAAATAAAACTTATTTCCAAAATCATAATTCTTACTTAAAAAAACCCCCACAGTGATAGTATCTTTAGAGTTGTTTCAATGTACCTACAACAGAAAGACACAAATATTTATACAGTTATCTTAAGTTCAAAAGAATGGCCCTATATTTGCTCTAGTGTAAATGAAGACAGAATTTCTTCCTCTCCTTGTTTGTATATTTCTGAGGTACTTTTAATTGAATTAATACTGCCCACTAGCCAGTTATCTTTATTCTGTAGCTCTTTCTTATTTTCAGTTATAAACGCTCTTCTTTTTTGATCTGATTGCTTTTATACACTAGTGAAACAAGACTGAACAGCAAATACTGTCTACAGAAGTTGTACTGGATTAGGTACAGAGGATGACAGTACAGAAGCTGATTTTTATAGTGCTGAGCTCACCCTTATAACTCATTTAATAGCACTACTAGAACCAGAAATCATTTGTTTATAGACATGCCCTAGGCTGCATGGTATTCCTACTCCAGCTGACTGAAGAAAGCACCCAATTTTTCATACTCATTCAGATCTTTAGGCTTTGTTTGCTCTGAATCACAAGCATAGAACTGTGCTGTATGCTAATGATACTAACCAGATTTTAAGACCAGACTGTAAATTACCCTAGATACACCTAAAATTGATGAAAATTTTGCTAGTGAGGTCACTACAGGACTGGTTTTTGTATTTTCTATCTGTATGTCCACTGACAACAAAGCTTTTATGGGAATTAAAATTTCATTGATAATTAGAAGTAGATTAATTAATTTGGATGAACAAAAACCTGATATTCTACCTACACAATTAATGTTCTTAAAGACTATTTTTAAACAAGCCTAACTTAGGAAAAGTCTTTTATTGCAATTTTCCCCATCAAATTTCACATAAAAGAAGCCTGGATTATTTCAGTGAGCATGGCAGGATAAACTTTTGAACTACCAGATACTTTTGCGAACCATATTCAGCCATCAGTGTTTGTTAGAACTGGGGTTTGTCTGTCTGAACTGTCTCTTGTCCTTGTGACTATAACATTGGGATGAAATAGAAACCTTGAGAGAATCTTGCTTCCAGTCCAATTCAACTGAAAGTAGTAAGAGTTGTTTTGATAACTGTGATTCCTCATGTCAAAAATTGCGTAAAGTAAACCAAACCAACCTATCTTGAGTGTTCCATGTTTAGACTATATCCTAAATATATTCACCCTTATTGAAAAAAGGAGGGGATAATTTTCTCAGGCTTTATTTCTACGCATGGTTACAAGAGGCCAGTAATTCAGTACAAAACAGTTCCAGGGAAGATGCTTAAAGCAAGGATTGCACGCAATATATGTTTCTGATTGTATTTCACCTGATGATACTTGAGTCCCTCTTCTAAAAATGTGTCTTTTTAATAGCTACAGCTGTCTCTTCATATATTCTGAGTATCCTGCTTTCACAGGGACTCACCCTACTGTTGGCTGAGCCAGAAACCATAAATAAATCAAGAAAAAGCCTGGACTTAGGGGTGGGGTTTTGTGTGTATGTGTGGTGTTTTTTTAAAAGCAATTGGAGCTTGATTGATTCCATTTATAGCTTTCCTCTATGAGTGAGCTGCAATCAAGTGTGTGTTTCAAGATGGTTTTCTTCAATTTTACTCCATTCCTCTCTAAAAAGGTGAGGCACTAGTTCAGGCTTATGTAGAGATGAACCTGAGAATGCTTCAGCTGGCACTTTTAAGCTGAGGGGATTCTGTATTTTCAGAAGAGAAACTGAAAGAAGGGGCTGAAACCCAGCCCTCTGCATAGGCTAGCTCAAATCTTGTTAAAATGTGTCTTGAGTGAAACACCATGAGAAACTGGTGATTTTGTAACTGTAACCATTACAAGTGTCACGCTGGTTGTTGAATTCTATTTCTTAAGGAAAAAAAAAAAAAAACCCACAACAAAAAAAAGAACTGATCCAAAACATTAGTTCTTTATCAGTTGGGTATGTGTCCAGAAGGAACATATTACCAGCTTACTCAAATTTCAATGAAACTTCATTTGATTTTTTTTTAACCCAAGTCTCACTGACAATTACAGAAGCTGCTAGCTAAAACTTCTGTTGACTAAAAATATGGGGTATTTTCCTCATGTGTAAGCCATCACTGAGCCTTTGAGCCTCTTATTGTCCATGAGAACTGAAAATTGGAAATATGGACCTGTTCCCCAGTCTGAAAGCCTGCCTTGTCACTTTGTTGACTGCTTTTTGCTTATAGCAAGAGTTAAACCAAGAGCATTACAAATACTTGTTGTCTTGACTTAGTGGCTAATCCCAGAGGAGAATCCATGCAGGGGAAAAAGATGTATTAAGCCCTGAGTGAAATAACTATGTTTACTTGCTTTATTTTTTTTTCTCTCAAAAAAACTTCTTTTCAGCTTTAAAGGAATTCTCTCATGCCTTTTGGTCTTTTTACAGCTTTTGAATAAATTACAAGGAAAGAGCTTCTGTACTGGATTTATCAATAACAATTTCTTAGAGTTCTGTGTTTTTTAAAAAAAAGTGTCAAGATGCATCACAGCTTCTGATTGATTGTCAGGTTAGTTCTTTAGCTCTAATCTTCTGCAAAAATATTAACTATAAATCTTTAACGTTCTTTTTTTCTGCACTGATACAATTAATTTGTTACTGACATATAAGCTCTTAGCTCAGACTGGCGAGGGATGCTTATTGGAAATCACTGGATTGCACAAGGATAGTACGTGTGAGATGATTTTTTTATTATTACAGCAGCATCTAGAGGCTTCATCTGAAATTATATGTCCTCTGCCAGACACTATATGAACACACAGTGAGAGACAGTACCTGCCCTACACTCCTGGGCAAAAATAAACCCCCAACCAACAAAAACCAAACCACCAACACCCAAACATGTCACACAGGTGACATGCTGAAATTAAAACAAGCTTAAATTAAAATAAATACATTCTGATGGTGCATATAAAGAAAAGTAAGATCTTGGAGATGACAACACTTTGTTTGTAGGAAACACAGAGCCTTTTTCTGGGAAGTACATTTCCTAGTCAGTCAAAGAGCCAATGCCAAAAGCTGGTTCAGCTGCAAAGTCTTTCAGGTAGGGTTTCGAACTGGTTTACCATTTCCTAATTGCAAGGTAAGGTTGCTGTCTCATACACAGGACTCTTCTGTGAATTTTTCATTTTGGTGATGATGATTTAATGAACTATTTTTAACAAAGGTGATGCTCATGCAAAAAACATCTTTCCCTGATGTTAGGATTTGAGTAAGAACTCTGTTCCAATATTGAGATGGCAGGCAGTGACTTTTTTATGGTGACTATCAAGCTGAGAAATGGGATAGATGTGGAAGTAATATTTCACTAGAACTTTTGTCTCTATTAGAGTAATTCATAAAAATCATCTTACTTAAGACATTCTGGAGTGAATATGGAGATTAAGGACAACTGGTTCCAAAAACTGCTTAGAGAGGGGAACTAAAATTTGTCTTTAACTTGTGGCAAGAGCTATGGAATTTAAGTTATGCGTGTGACTGAAGGATGACATTCAAGTTAGTCATATAGTTACAAGAGTAGCATAGCTGGGTATTTCGGCTGTGCATGCGTGGTGCACCCCAACCATAGATTTCCTGGTTGGTGCAGGATGTCCCCCAGTCAGTCATCTGCATAGATGAGACAATAGACTGATTTGAAACAACAAAACTAGTTGAGCAATGGGATTGACTGAACTGGTGGCCTTCACAACAGCATTTGGCTAACTGGTGCAGGAACTCTCTGGATGGGAACCTCAGGCTGCTCCTGCTGTGCTTATGCTGATTTATACTTTTCTATGTGTCCATTAAGAACCTGGCAATGTCGTGGAGACTCTCCAGGTAGTTCCTGCAGCAGAACTGACCAGGTTGCACCTAACTAAAACACTTTCAAATAGTCCATAGAAACTGTTCCTGCAGGTGCAGAGAAGGTCACATAGTGTAGTCTTTTGTACATAGTTAAGACAGGTGGGTGGTATTTTGCACATTGTTTACGTTAATAGCAATGGATCACATACATACTGGACTTTCATGTAGAGCTGTGGGCCAACAGGATTGTAAGATTTCAGCAAAACAAGTTTCCTGCTTAAAGTGCTGTTGCAAGTATCCTTGCAATAGAGACTTTGGTTGCCATACAGAAAGCAATTATCATGTTTGAGAGATCCAATTTCTAAAGATACTAATAAATTAGTTTTCTTTAACAGTCACTCTCTTTATGTCCTATGTCTTTGTCCAACAGACTCAAGAGTAGAGTTTGGACTGTAGTATCTGCTCCATTGTGGAAGTTGCAATCGTTATCCACAAACAGAGGCAAAATAAAAAATAGGGCAAGACATCATGGAAATAAAATGTTAAATGGATCAGATCTTACATGACCTAAAAGTATCTGTCTTTCTCTAGGTGTCCTTATTTCCCAAGAGTAGATCACAGTGTATAGTTACAGGTAAAGCAGTACAAGTAGGTATACAGTGTGCAGATTCAACTCATAAAAACCTCATTCTGCACAGACAGAAATAAATTTTGTTAGTATAACACTTGAATGGCATGCAAGGATAAAGATACTGAGATTTCACACTGTACAGCTACCTGATACATCATTACAATGGCACCAGATGAACAACCTAGATGCTGTTGGTAATCATATCCTGTGCAACTTGCTCTAGGTGACCCTGCTTTGGCAGGGGGGTTGAACTAGATGATCTCCAGAGGTCCCTTCCAACCCTGATGATTGTGATATGTATATGGATTTTATTTGTGGTTGGGGTAATGAAAGGAATTACTTCCCAAAGTAACTTTAATTTACATAATTGGAAAGAAAAATAGAAACTCAGTCATTTTATGTGGAGGGAATCATTGCTGTTCAATCAGATATAATAATTGTTCTAATTCTGAAATTAATTTCCATTACCTGGATTTGGTTTTCCAGTTTGATATTGTCTTGAATTGAAAAACCTGGAATAATAAACATTTAAATACCAGTAAAAAGTCACATTCATGTTCTGTAGGCTAACAAAGACTAGGCAGTGATACTGGCCATTAAGCTTTGCTGAGAATGAGTGTGCCAGATCCTCAGCTACTATCACATTTATTCAACAGGGCTATACCTATTTTATTGACAGAGGGTTTGTCTGAAAGTCTCTAAAATTCATGTCATTAAACAATTTTCTTATTTACTTTTAGCAACTATTTTAACAAATTGATTAGTTAATTGATGTCATTCACACATTTCCTAGAATGCAGCTCTCTACCAGATTTGCCACAGTCCTGATTATTCATGAATAATATCGATTAAAATTATTTAGATTAAAGCACAAGTAAAAGAAGACCTAAGGTAATTTAGTGTTTTACCTAGTTAACCTAGCATCAATTCAGTGTTAATTTTTTCATTCAATTCTTTTTGCACTTAGCAGCAGTGTGCTTTTACTTGTCCAAAAAGTATATTCCAGATAGATGTGAGGGACACTTGATGTTCATATTTTTTTAAAATCTGATTTAATGAGTTTGGGGTATACAAAATATGATTAAAAATTTCTAGAGCAGCACTTAACTTTTAACATCTATGTAAAATGCAGCATAAATAGAAAAATAACTATGTGGGTCACAGACTGATGAAGATCTATTAGATAATTTTAATCGTTCTTTTAAAATTTACACAGAAAAAAGCTTACTCTTGAATTATTGGTGTAAGTTGAGTGCCGAGATCTTCACAGTGAAACCATTTTTCAAAGAGGACATTAGTTGATTCTCCAACATAGTATCTGACAAAGTAAAGACATTAGTCAACCCTTTTATTAACTAACTGGGCAGTTTCAGTCTTTTCAAGAAAATAGCTACTTGATGTTGTGTAAGACCGTGTTGTTTTCAAGCCTGGTGTAGTTTATTCTGAAGAATGGTTATTTAGGGAAGCTTTCTGTTTCCCTGGTTAGCTGACTTGGTGGATGGCGTGCTCAAACTTCTATGGAGGGCCTTGTAGTTCTGCTGATCAGCCACAAAGTCACCAAATTCCTTTAGCAGACTTTCCAGATTTAATCCTGGAAATGATTGGTACCATAGTGCCTTGGAACCAATAACTCTCACTTTGGATGTAGTTACTGCAAAAATAACTGTCCCCAAATACCACTTCCAGTAGCTGCTTCCATGCAGCTAGGAGATAAACGCTCGTATTTAAGAGAGTTGGCTTGCTTATTGCCCATGCATGGACTGGTAAGAAAACAAGGTGGCTTATGGACTTGTTTGCAAAAAATAGATGGTTGTCAGCTGTGTAAATTTGGGAAGTGTTGTTTAGCTCACTCCCCTCAAGAGGAACTTAGTGCTTCACTTGCATTATTTTACGTCTTAACAAATAAATAAATTATGCTGAGATCAACAGGTCAAGGTTGCTGTAATCTATGGAATGGCAAATACAGAATTTATCTACAGATTTAAAAAAGACTGCATGGACTGGCAAGGGAGTGATGCTCCAGTACAGTCACTCATATTGTGACTGATGGTAGATAGGTCCGATGTGTCCTTTGGGTTAAAGTCACTGGAATGTGTGTTTGGAGAGGGAAACAAGGCTTATATAATTATATTATGCATATTTCTGTATTCAGGTCTGGTTTATGAATCTCTCTATATATTGTCCAGAAACTTTCTAAGAACTCCCCGGCTCCTCAAGTTTTCCAAAAACAAGGTACTCGGAAGAGAGTGATGTTATTAATGCCTTCACTATGGAAAAAGCTGTGCTATGAGCACAAATTTTGAACACAGAGAATCTAGAGAGAAGAGAGACCTTACAAATGTGTAGGTTGCAAAAAGTCATTGCACCTGAGAAGGACTTTGCACTTTACTAGGTGTTAAAGAATCCAACCACACAACTAACATCAAACTTAGTTGTTTCTGTACTTGTTTGTCATAGGATTAAGATTAGCTAGTGCATTTTTCTTATAGTACAAAGCATGTAATCATTACTTAGGCTGAAATGCTGGAGCAGGCTACTTATTCTTCACTTGTACAACAATCAGCATGCTGGAGGCTCTGATTTATGACTGAGGCTTGTAGGCACGATAAATAATGGAATAGTAACATAATATTAGACCTTGAGTCAGCATACTTCAAAGTTTATGATGACTTCCTCTTGTACAGTCTTTGCAGGTGGTTAGGAGTGAAAAAAGTTTGAGAAGATTAGAGGTTCTGGTTGTAAATCCCCATCTCTCCCAGGAGCACACAGAGACAATGTAGGTTCAGAAGTATGACGTGATTGTTTACTTCCAAAACTTCAGGTGTCTTTGTTCATCATGTCAGTGTGAAAACAAGGGCACTAAAAATCTCCAAGGTATTTATTTTCAGGTACCTAATTAGATATTTTCAATTAAGAGTGTGCTTTGTTAATCCAATTTTTTTCCACCTGCAAACCATATGGTAGCTTTTAGTTTAATTTCTCCACAGGAGCATAACTATATTGGAGTGCAAATCTCTAGACCTACCTGGTATCCCTAAAAAGGCATTCGGCATCTCCCTAACCCATACCATTCACAGACTTCATGTACAAGGTAAGTTATTTTACTTAAAGTTGCCTAAAGCTACTTATGTTCCTTTGTTACAAACAAACGTTATTATATGAATCACCAGCCAATTATTTCTAGCTCAAAATATTTTTTTAATAACGTAAGCACTCACAATCCACAGACCTGCAATGAAAGGGAAAAAGGGACAAGCGTATAGATGAACAATGTTTTAAATGAGCTGGATTTGTCTTTAGTTTGGAAGCTAATCAGGTATTTTTTTGAATCATCCCTTTCTGTTTCTTATTTCTTTCTTCAGCCTTTTTTGTTTGAATGAAAAATTATATCTTTCTAGCTCCACATATTTGCAATCTTCCTGCTGTGACACCGCCAATGCAACAATCAAAACTATAGGCAAAAGGACAGAAACAGGACATTACGGATATTACCACAGTTTTAAAACTTACAAATTACATGAATAGCTGTAAACTCTCTTTGGTCAGTCGTATCTGGTTAATATCAAAACAGCTTTTCCAACTTGGCTGATGTTACTGCTGTGACTTGTTGCCTTAGACTTACAAATTCTGTATGACCACAGGACAGGGCTTAGTCCTGCTCCCACTAGAATATAAAGTAAACCTCTTATTTCTTTGATGTTGTTCTCACAAGGCAATAAAAGCTAAGCAGAGGTGTGTACAATGTAGAGAGGTTAGCGTTAAGAAAATTGACTTCTGTTTCCAGCTTCCCACACACTTGCCAAGAAAGCTGCTCTTCATCTTTTTGCTTTCAGTGCTTACAAAGGAATTACTGTTCTGCTTGCCAGAATTGATAAAAAAAATCTTTTTCTGATTTGTGTTGTTACAGAGCTCCGAGATTTTAAAATCTAAGGTGATAATAGTAGGCAATACATAAGTAGATAACTGTAACCACCATGTGCATTTAAGACATTTCAACATGTTCCTTGTTTACTAAATCAAATGTTAAATGAGATCTCTGTTTATGTGCATATAGATAAATAGATGTGTGGACAAAATTAGTACAAAATTGCCAGGGTGAATCTGATAAATTATTAGGAAAGTAAAATACAGTATTGTATTGACATGAGAAATTAGTTTATATTATGAATCCTAACAGACTAGCCAGCAGTTTATACTTCACCTGAGCCCATCAATTTCTGTCTTTAATCTTTCTCTTTCAATCACAAGACCCACAGTGTTTGCATATCTCTGAGGAGAATGAGGTATCCTAGCAGGTAGGAGGAACATCTGTTCAAAGAAATGGGAAAGCATCAGTGTCAGGAAGCTTTTGTGTTGTCCTTCCCCTGCACCCCAACCTGCAAAATCCTCTGCCCCTTGCCCACTTTTTGCCTACTCTTTGTTGATCCTGTGTTGCTCCTTTGCAGCTGCACCCACTTTGGTACCAACAGCCCAGCAGATGCTGTTTCTTGTTTTCTCAGGGAATGATGACCATTGACTCTGCAATTAGCACTGCCTTTATGGCAGTCAAGTGCTTTCCTCATGGTTTGATCCTCATTGCTAGACACAATTGAAATGAAAATCTAACCAGTTACTCATCTGGAGTTTATATATTTACTGCAATTTCTAAGTAGCAGAAATGGAAACAAAAAGCAAGTTTGTTGTCAACTCAAGACAAAGTCTAAACTAATCAACCACATGTATCCCTCCAACAGAGTGAGAACCTGTGATTGCATGATAAGGATGTTATTCTCTCCAGAAGTAATTAACAAATATAAGGGGCCACTTACTTATGCGAGTGACAAAGCAAATAGGCAACGTCTGGTTGGGAGAAATCTATTACTGAGGTTTGAGAAGAAACCTTTTTCTAGCAGCTATCTGATTACATAGGAAGGAGGTAAGCCTGTACTGTTCTTCAGTGCTACAGATTTCTTAGCCAAGTTTGGGCAAGTCATTACAATTTCTCTGTCTGCAAAACAGAGCTAATGATTGTGCCTCACCAGGACTAGTGTCAGTCTTCCCACTAAGGATATTTTGTGCTCCTTTTCATTGATGCTTCTGGTACACACCAAGATCTCAGCCGAATGTACTTCTCCACTCCACTGTGAAGTGTATTACCAGAACCTCACTGCCTATAGGTTTGAAAATTTAGAGCTGTCTCTTCATGGAAAATGTCATAATACTTTTAATGACGTCAAGCTATTGGGTCTAATATGTCTTCCATTTTAAAGGCTGATTCCACTAGATCTAATAATCCTTTCAGAGACTGAGTGCACTTCAAGCTTGTGACAATAATCATGACTGGCAGTTGTAGCACACCTAATAACGTGCAGTAACACCAAGGAAAATATCTAGTCACAGGCTCATTAGAAGCACTGCAATTTATGCTTTAGCAAGTCGACTACTATAAAGAAAAACAACTGAGGGCAGCTGGATACATTTTATCCATAAATTGCTCTTTTAAAACTGTTCTCGTATTTGATGGTTGCGAAGGCTAGCTGTGAGGACTAAAGAAGGCTGAAAATAGCTGAATCTCTCAACTTTCTAAGTTCTAGGCAGTTCATTTAATGGCTTATTTGGGTGGGTAGGCAGGCAGCATGCACCTAACAATGTGTAAATAAGACTGATCCACTTGAATTCACATGGCAGATTCCGTGCCATGCAGGGGAATGAGAAGTCCTCTCAGTTTATTCCTGACTATCTGAATGGGTATCCCAAATGCTCAGAGAGATTTTTATTTGTTACATGAAATCATGAAATGTTGAACACGGTGTATTGTAGTTTGCTGTTAATTACATGGAATTTGCTATACTGCATTCCAGATGTTTTTTTATCCTTATGCCATCTCTTGCACAGCAGGTATAAATAGATTTTTTAAATACTTAATAAAAATACTCATCTAACATACTTATGTACAACAATAACAGAAAAACAACTCTGTTTTACCTCCCCTTCTTGGATGACAATATCTTTTTGTTTCCCATTTTCAATTATCTTCAAACACATGTCTCCTTTAACCTGGTAAAAAAGCTGAAGGAATAGGAAAATAACATTAAGGCAATTACTCCAAAGCATTCTGTACTTCATATTCTGTATATAAAGGATACATGTATAAAGACATTGAATCTGTAATTGCAAATATTTACAGATTTTTTCTAACAATAAATAAGACTTCCTACCTTTGATTTTGAAAATATTACTAAGTATGTATTATTTCTGTTATCCTACGTACATTTGACAACCTAAGAGATCTGTAACTGCTTATAGAGCTGTTCTGTGAACCCAGTGGAATTTCATTGCGATGTCTTCACTCCTGCGGATTACTCTTTGTAGGGCTGGGATGTTATGGTTCAGACATCCATTAATTACATTGTATATAAGACTTCATTTCAGATGTAGCAAGGTCTTCACAATTACTTTCAGTCAAATTAAATGTCACCTTTCCAAATAAGCTCCAAATATGCGTGCACAGGTTTTTCGGGTGTGTTTTTCATTTTTTTTAATGGAGCTTTCTCATTTGGGAATAATTGCCCATTTGGAAGCTGTTCTGCTTTATTTCTGTGGATACCCTCAAAGCCTAGCAACAGCTGCTCCTCTTCCTACTGTGTATGTAAAAGGATTACGTTTGGAGCGTGTATAAGGACAGAACCACTGAATTCTGTCTTCAATGACCTTTCCACAGCTCTGTTTCCAGAGTAGCTTTGTGGGGTCCCTGAGGTGCTCAGACCTAGCCTCATGTTTCATGGCAGAACTGTGCTGTGATCCATAAGCAGATCTCTCTTTGACCTGGAATAATGGGCACATTTTTCCTTGTTTCATATAACACAGGGCAATAATACTTCAAAAAGTCAACTTTGCTTTTCTGCCACTATCTGCCAAGCTTCTATATGCTTTCCATGTTCTGTTTGCCATACCTAGAAACCAAACAGATTAATTCATATAATTGTTATTGCAGCTGAAATTGTCTGAAACCTGATTAAAAGTTAAAACTATAATGAAAACAATTTTATTTATAGTAATTCACTACAATTTTAGCAAAGTGGAAAATAAATAAAGAAGAAACCACCGTAGTATATAAAACCCCCGAACTAAACGTTTTCCAACATTAGAAAAGCTTAATCAGTTTTTTGAATCAGGATTATCTCCAGAAGAGTTTTGAAATATTAATACATGCCCCTGAGAATTCAAGAAACACCTCTATGAACATAAATAGAATAAATATGCTGCCTAGGGAATGAAACAGTAGAGAGAACTGAAGATGTACTGGAAAAGAGCTCATGCTGAGAGCTCTTATGTGAGGGAAAAGTTCACCTTGTGCCAGGGACATCACCACTGATAAATTTTAACTCTTGTCTAGGTGGCCACAGTGCAAGGCTACTTATCCTCCTTGCGCTTCATTTCCCCATGTTCTTTTCCTGTTGTTTTATTTGCTGTTACTGAATGACCATATAAAATGCTGTAGTAGCCCTTATTACAGAGCACATCGGGCAAGGCTAGCTGCTCATTGTACAACATAAAGTGATTTGAGTGGGAAAATGACCTTTCCATTTCAGAAAAGACTCATCTAAGACTAAGATCCTGATGGATTATCACAAGGCTATTGGTAATATGGCACTGGTAATGCTGAAATCGAAAGATCCTTTTTGAAACGTTGAGCTTTGGAGTGTTATCTTCCCTGTAACTACCAAGGGAGCTATTACTGTGAACGCATGCGCAGGACATGTAGATGTGGGAAAGGACAACAGAGGAAAAGTTTTCTTCTGCTTGTGACCATGAATCATGCAACTAAGCAAAATTTCTGGTAATAAGACTGGAGAAGGGAAAAGGGCCATCCAGTTCAGTAGTTGAGCATCACCGTCATAAGGAAAGATTCTGAACACTGAATTTTGAACTTAAAAAATTGTTTTGCAATGGGAAAGGAGGAATGAGGTGGGCTACACGTTGTCAATAAAAGTGTTTTTCTGACTGAATTTAAATAGTACCTTTCACTGTAAATTATGGTCTATTCTTCAAAACTTTTTAAAAAATGCCTGAGTGCTTCAGTCATCCATAAATCATCTGATGTACCTGTGATTAATACAAGTGGCAGTAATTGCTGAATCTACTGCTGTGCTTATGTTATACCCTGAACTTTTATCAAGAAAACTCAGAGTTTCTAATATCTCGGTGAGTTACAGCCCATGCCCCTTTCACAGGACCATTTGGCAATACAGTATCGTACTGTCTCTTTGCTGGAATGTTATTTTTTCTAAATGCTGACTGAGCTTTGCCTTCTGGGAAATCTAACCTTTTCCTAAGTATCTCCTGGAAAAATCAAGGCCTGAGTAAGGAAGTACTGGTGTGTGCATGGGGGCACACACACACGTATGTCTGTATATACACAAATAGGTATGCATAGATAGATAGATAGCAAGTCAGTGAGTCCATGCCACCCGAAAATATAAGGTTTCCCAATTGGTCTGTTTTTACTGGGATAATCTGGTATCCATTCTCCTAATACTGAAAACTATTCTATTGGCATTTTATTAATGACAAGGTCTCTTGTTACATGTAAAATACATATCTATCTATCTCTCCTTGTAGAAAAGCTTAGATTTGCATGTTGCTACTGCATAATGGGTCAAAATCAGACATGGATTTGTCTTTCTATGTGAAAAATGTGGCTCAAGGAAGAAACAAAGGTTGTTCACCAGTCTCTTTATCCTTTTTGTTACTAAATGTGTTTATTTGTTTATTATCATTATTATTATTACAGCTTCTTCTTTTCTTCCTTTCATTTTCCAGACTTTTGTATTTTGTTTAGCTTTCCTGCTTACTATGTGGCATCTTCTCATTACAATTACACTAAAACCACCTGCTCTTAGTCTCACCTTACCTCTAGATGTTATGAGCCACCTAGAAGTCATTCTTTACCCTAAGCATAACATTTTTTCATAACATTGCTCAATATGAGCATTAAAACTGCAGTTACACCTATGAAAACTAAACTGAAAGCCCCTTAAGATTGAGACTTTGCTTTTTGACTCATTTAATTTTCCTTAAATTCTCTTTGCTGTAGGAGAATTACATCCCCCTTCCTCAGTCTGCTTCATGTTTCTTGATCATGCTTCAAACCTCATAGTACTGTGTTAAGCCACAGTGGAAGGCAGCATGACCAGTGCTGAGTCATTGTCAAGTCTGTAAAGGGGTATTTCACTCAATTATGAACACTTATAAAATAAAACATGCAGGCATTTCTGGAGACAATAGGTGGAGATGCAGAGAGGTGGGAATTCACTCTTCCCTTCAGCTTCAGTGGAAGCATCACTGAAGCTGCTTGTCATGGTAGGAATTCATTGCAATGGGGTAGTAGAAAGTGTGAATACTAACCTTAAAAAGAGCACCATTGTCCCCACCATATCAACATGGTAAGAATTGTATTGCTCCTTCATCTAGGTATGTGTATCCTAGCACAGTAAAGAAGGAAGCACGTAGCAGAGGAAGAAGACAATATTTCTAATTGGTTTGTATAGGTCAATTAAAAACCAAGTTATTTTATCTTATGTACAGCAATGTATGTAATTTAATTTAGATTCACCTTTGATATCAAACTCTGCCTAGATGTAGTAGCTCAGAGCTCTGTGAGGGCTTTTGTTGCTGAGAGCTTATTCAGAGACCTCTAAGTATACCTGTGATTTGCAGTGTACTTTGAGTACTGGCTGCTTCTGAAAGTGGAATTTGAGATTGCTCAGCCACTTCTGGGGTGAGGCTCTGACCTGGCATATCCTGGCTTGTATTGCTTGTCAGATTGCTAAGTACTAAATTAAATCGCAGAGCAAATCAAATTCTGATGTGGGAGTAGAGCCTGGGTGTTCTCCAGACTTCACTGGTGACTGATATATTTGAGCACAGAAAAACAATTTTCTCCATCTCTCATCACAAGGTTTTTCAGCCATCAGGAGTCTGGAAGGCAACAGATGAAGAAAGTAGAGAAAACTGTGGTGGGTTTTGGTGGTGTTTTGTTTTATTTTGGTGTTTTTTCTTCCTCTGCTCATTTACATGTCATCTGTGAAACCTGAATACTAGCCAAAACTCATCCCAACAATTTTATGCAGCAAACTTACTTCTGAAGACACCATCTCTTTCTGATGCAAAAGGATCATCAGTCTTGTAACAGGAGATTCGTTTCTTATAAAAATGTTCAAAGAGTTTTCACCAGATAAATGTGGGGTTTTTTTTAAATGTAAAGAAGCAAAAAGGTTTCTCTTGCTTTGCTGTGACTCATGTTCTCAGTTTTATTTGGGAGATAAGCACCATAAAACTACCTACTGGAATGCCCACCTAGCCCCTCTTTCCCCTCCTCCTTAGACATCCAGTATCTCCATACAGTGCAAAGGGAGAAATGAGCTGCTAGGGAAGAGTTTCTCAAAAGCATGCTGACTAGAGAGCAGCATATGCTAGATGGGGTCAGCTTCACTTCAGCAGGTAATTTGTCAGAAACTGGAGCCAAGTCTTGTGGTGTGTGTGAGAGAGATGGAGAAGTCGAAACTCAGGTTAGAAAACTCAGATGAGCTGTGGCAGATGTGACCTCAAATCTGTATTCTGTTTCAGAGCAAGATGTTACTATGTCTCAATCAGACCGTGTAACTATGCTAGAAGAGGTGAAGAGATTGGCCAAGATGGTCAAAGAAGGGGGAATTTCTGTTCTGAGAGTGCTCTTTAGGACTGCAGTGTGAGGGCTCTGATCTGTGGGGCTGCATCAGTACTTAGGTGGCTCTATCCATAGGAAACAACCCAGATACTGAACGGAGAAACCTAGGGCAAAATATACACAGCACAATGAGAAGCAGGGCTTGTAAAACCAAGCATAATATTGTGCCAATGCAAATGTGTTGCCGGTGATAGATGACAGGCTGATTTTAATTTGTCTGCATGGAACTGCCCTGTTTTACGTAGACTCAACATCATAGTATAAATTGTTAAGAAATCCAAATCGGCTAGTTGAGATTCGTTGTGTTTAAGTGGTACACTAAAGTGGGTAAAGAGA